TTAGGACATCTGCAGTCTGCTCAGTAGTAGGAACAAACTTGACAGAGATTTCACCCCAGTCAAGTTTCTCTTGAATAAAGTGGTGCCAGATAGTGATGTGCTTTGTACAGTCACAAAACATTGCATTCTGGACTAGGGAAATAGTAGATTGATTGTTGATACAGAGGGTGGTGGGTTGTTAAGAGGGGGGAGGGTCCAGCTCATCCATCAGTGTCCATATCCAGACTGCTTCCTTTGTGGCTGCAGACATAGCCATGTACTCAGCTTCCATGCTAGATAGTGCAATGGAGGTCTGCTTTTTTGATGACCAGCTAATAGTGCCACCAGACATAAGGAATACATAGCCCATAACAGATCTGCAATCATTTATGTCAGCTGCCCAGTCAGCATCAATGTAGCCAATAGGGCAACCCTCTTCTGACTTTGAGTATGTGAAGCAAGAGCCAATGGTTTTACAAAGGTACCTGAAGACATGCTTCAGCACAGTCTGATGCTCAAGTCCAGGTGATGCAGCATGACAGCTAAGTATGCCCACTGCATAGCCCAAGTCTGGTCTTGTAGCAAGCATGGCATACATTGTTGGAACATAAAGTGCCCCTGTGGTACTTGACCACTGTGCGATGTTTTGGCTGCTTACATAAGCTGAAATAGCGCACATACTTGTAGTATTTTCTACTAGTATTCCCTCAGTAGTTTGTTCACTACTGAGGGTAAGTCCATTCATATTACAAGTATTCTACTATACTGACATCCTGTAGTAGCCTACAGGTATATCTAATATATCAGTAGTTTGTTCACTACTGGGGTAGCCTACAGATATTTCTACATACATCAGTGCACCCAGTGCACTCTGATAGGCCTTAACATCAACCTCCAGGTGCTCCAACTTTTCAAGCTTCAGATTTGACCTGATAGATGTAGTCACAGAGCAGCCTTCACTCATGCTGAAATGTTCAAGAACATTCTGTATGTACCTCTTCTGTGACATTTGGATAGTCCCCTTGTCACAATCTTGAATAATTTCTATGCCTAGAATCCAACAAGCCTCACCTAGATCTGTCAGATCATACTCACTCACAAGATGAGTCTTGGGGTGTTTGATGGTAGAGCAGCATCTTGAGACAAGAAGTTTGTCATCAACATATGTGAGTCAAAGTGTGGTTCAGTGGTGAAAACCAACCAAAACCAACACAAAAGACAAAAAGAGCAAGTGGTGGTGTGCCTATGCAGTACCTAGATGGTAGAACCTTTGATTTGGGTGGGTTTTTGCAAGCTACAACACTCAAAAACAAGTGCTGAGGGATGGGGGTGCTCCTGACAAAGAGGGAGCAAGAATGTGATAGAAAGCAATAGGGTAGACTGCTGTCAGCCTACAGAAGGGTGAATGGCGACTTAATTTGATGTCCTAAGCTGCACTAAGCTCAGGGAGGGCTTGGAGTGAAGTAGATTGATGAGAGACAAGGATAAGCAAAGTAGATGATAGTTAGACCCTTAATAAAGTCTCAACTATCAAAGCTGCTGAATGAGTTACTGAGTGATGATAAAATGCAAGCAAGAGGGGCTCTCTGACATCTTCTTCCTTTTTGCTATCTAAGTACAGTGATTTATATACAGTACAGGGGTGTTGCCCTTGGAAAACAAGGTGCAAACACTTGGTAAGTGATTGGTAACTGATGAGTAAGGAATGTAAGTGATGGGTAATTGTCTTGGAAAGCATTGGTAAGCATTGGTAAGGATTAGCAAGCCAAAATGTGAAGAATCAGTAAGCAAAGTCAAAAGATTGGAAAGTATTGGCAATAGGTGAGTCAAAGACAGTCAAAACATCAAAGTATGAGTCAAGTAATGTCAGGAACTGGGAAAGCACACTGGAATCACATTAGGAGGAGGCTGTGCATGTCACATCTCAAAGAGATCAGCCAAGGTGGGATGACAGAGAGGCAGCACTGACCTGATGCCAATACAGTACATCCAAAAGTGGACAGGGTGAGTCAGATGTCAACAGGGGTCAAGCTTTGGGGTTCTGTGGGGTGGCAGGAGCATAGGGGATTGCAACTTTCCCCCCCAAACCATCCTCTCAGTGAAGCAAATAAAAACTTCATAAATGATGTTCTGTTGGAAGAGAGGATGAAGGGGGAGTGTCTTCTGCTGTATCTTACAACAAGGAGGCAAGATGTGCATCATACTTGTCATGGATGTGATCAGGGAGGGTGTAGAACAGTATATTATACTGTAGCTGTCACAATCTTGGAAGAATGACAGATGAGACTGGTACAAAGACATTGCAGGGAGCAGGGAGGAAGGATCCATATGTTTCTTGGACTGGAGAGACTGAAATGACCACAAAAGACCTTTCCAAGCGAATGACAGACCTGAGGTGACCAAAGAATGTCCTCCTAGAGGTCATACTGACAAAAAGAACATGCTGTCCAAGCTGGATGGGCTGAGAGGGTGCCAACAAGGGTGGGATGTACCAGGATGCTTCAGGATGGAAGCTGGTAGGAACTCCTGGTAGATATATGTAGCCATGGTCCCTAGCAAAGGGGACAAGTGAAATGATTGATGTGGAGGTGGCCATATCAGAAGAATTAGTGAAATGAGCATCTTTTGGAGGGAGTGCTGTAGAAATGTGTGGAGTGCACAAATCCTTTCCAATTTTGGAAGGTAGGATCATGTGGCTGAGCACTACAAGCGAGTGTGGGAATGGTCTCAGTATCTGCAGAGACAGTGGAGATATGTCAAAAACCAGAATGCCATACATGGGCACTTAAGAATTTTAACCAGCACTTAACTTGCTCCCTTTCTTTTTCTTTGGCACTGATGACTTGTTCTTGTGCAAGGGATGACTGCTGACATTTCTGGCTGTCCTTCTTTGCAGGAGGGCTATGGTCTTCATCTCCATTCATCAGCTGTATCCATGTCCACCTCACCAAACACCTTTGGTGTGTGACACATAGACAGCTACAATGATGAGGACACCATCCTCAATCTTGTAGAAAAGGCTGTGGTCTGCATGGCTTCAAGTAAATCCCAGGTTTTCAAAGACAGATCTGAGGTGGGTATACCAGGACTTTGGTGCCTGCTTGAGTCCATAGAGCACATGATACAGTAGCCACACCTTATCATCCAATCTGAAACCTGGAGGGGGCTGCAGGTAGATCTCTTTGTCCAGAGTTCCATTTAAAAATGCAGATTTTACATCCATCTGATGGATTTCAAGGTTATACTTAGCAGCAAGTGCAAGCAGGAAATAAATGGTGGCAAACTTGGTCACCAGTGCAAATGTCTCTGTATAATCAACACCATGGACTTGGGTAAACCCCTTCACCACCAAGCGAGCCTTGTATTTGTCTATCTCACCTGTTGGGCCTTGTTTGACTTTGAAAATCCACTTAGAATCAATGACCTTGTGCTCAGGTGGCAAGTCAACCTCCTCATATAACCCAATGGACTTAAATACCTTGAGTTCCTCAAGCATAGCAGTGTACCAGAGGTCTGTGTCAGTGCATTGCATCACCTCATTGAACATAGCTGGTTCATTGTCATGTCTTGTGATTGCTTTGTAAGCAGACTCATGCAGAGTCTCCACATGAGCCACTGACTCACTGTCCACATGCACATCACCCTTGCCTGCTGCAGTGTCATGTTACTAGTACAGTGCATGACCTGTATCTTCCCTAGGCTCAGTGAGTGACTTCCTATCATAGGCATTGACATGTCCTTCTCCTTTTCCTTTGGCTTTTCCTTTTCCTTTTCTGGATGGGATGAAGACTTTGCCATCTCATCAGCTTTCTTCTTCTTGCCATCTTGAGGCTTCTTTCTCTGTTTCTGATTGTCTTTCCCTTTTCCCTTTTTGTTGGCTTGGGTCTTAGCAACATGTGCAGTCTGGGCTGCTGCTGTCTTTCTTGCTCTCTCCTTGATGAGAACACTGGAGATTACTGAGTCTATTGACAGCTTGTTGTCTGAGGACATAAGAACAGTGCAGAGAGTCAAGTAGGAGGATGGTAGAGATATGCATGGCTATGGCAACTAGTGAGTTGTCTAGGGACTGGCCAAGTGATTTGGGTACAGTTGCCTTCTGCCACATAGAGTTTAACTGAGGTTCCATGGGAGCATCATCCAAGAGGGTCCCATGGAAGAGTTCACCCATAATATAGGCTATTGTCTGTTTGCCTCTTCCTTCATAGCACTCACATAGTTTCTTCCAGACTTCAGCTGCTGTGCTTGCATGAAGCACACCACTGAGTGGTTCATCCTTCAGAGTTAAGGTGATCTGTGCACAAGCCTCTTTGTCCCTGGCTAGCCAGTCTGCATGCCCATTTGGGTCTGTAGTTGGGTCTGGTGCAGTGATTTTTCCACTGATGAGGTCCAATAATCCACAAATGTCTAGTACCACATTGATTCTGCACTTCCATGTCTGGAAGTTAGAACCATCATTTTCCAATGACAGAATGTCATATGGGCAACTACTAGGCTGCATGGACTTGGCTGACAAGGTAGCAGTTATTGTGGAGGCTGAGGTTGCTGTCTGTGAGGAGCCAGCAGTTGATGTGAAAGGGTTTGACATTGTTTTAGCTTAGTTATGACTGTGTAGATCTAGTATCTGAGCAGGGCAGGGCTCATAACCTTTTGTAGGTTAAAGAGCTACAGTGTGAACAGAGGAAGCTACAAACGAAGGAGTGTAACTAATAGGGTTAGATATCATAGAGTAACAACTGTAGAAAAAGTATCTCACCTCAGCTTGAGTATGTCAAGACTGAGGTGTGTTCAAAAGATGAAAGCTAACACAAGTACAAGTGCATTACATAAGGCTGTGTCACTGGTGCCACAACACAAACCTCTCTCACCTGCTCAAGCAATAGTAACTGCAAGCAGAAACTTGGTCCTTGCTACCACAGTTGGGCAAATCACTCTCAAAATGGATCTCAGCACTGCTAAACCCTCTCACATACTACTTCAAATGGTATACTTTGTTCCCCAGATACATGCAAATCTTCTTTCAATCACCTATCTATCCAGTCAAGGAGTTCAAGTTGTTTTCTCTCAAAATGGCTGCTCCCTGGTCACAGATGGCCAAGCTATTGGATATGGTCAGCTACAAGGTTCACTCTACCTTCTCACAGCAGAAACATACCTACTTCATGAACACACACTTGTCCACCAAACTTCTTTACCACTGTGCAACATTCCACACAGTGTGGCCACTGGTGCAGTGCTCAGGCACAGTTCTTGACACCCTAGCAGGTTCCACATGCTTGTTCCTTTGCCAGCACAAGTGCCAAATGCTGGAAACTGTGTCAGCACAGGCTTGCAAGTAAATACAGACTTCACCAGACTCACTACAGGCAGTCTACATGGCATGTGAACACCCTCTGGAACAGAGGGTCCACACCACAGTGCAGTTCCTCTGAACACATGTGCTATGAGTCCCTACATGCCCTATTCAATCCATCTAAATCAAAATGCAAGCTCATATGTGCCCACTCCATCTGCAAGTAACATTATGACTGACCTGCACATGGGTGCACCTATTGATTGCACAAGAAGTGCTGTGCACACTACAAATTGCTCTTTGTTTCCCTCACTCCCTCTTTGTGCCACACATGAAGTCCTGGCCAACACAGAAATATCAGTGCAATGCTCCTGCTTTCCATACTGTAGCAAATGGGCTCATGTACCTGATACTCACAGCTGTGGCTCACACAGGACTTTGTCTGCATGCACACACCTGGGATTAATAAAAAAACTGTGTGGTTTCATCAAGCCTGCACTTACTACCTGAGGACTGGGGTACAGCATCCCTCCAAGGTGTAAATATGACTCCAAACAGGTTGGGGCCACTTTCTTCTCCTGTTGATGCACCAATTCAAGCCCAATGAACCAAAATCAAGCCAAAAAAACATACCTGGATGTTCACCAAGCACAAGTGCTGGAAGTATGACCCCAAGGCCTGATGATGGAGGTGCTGATCTCACAGATCAGCTGCTGGTCTTGAAGTGGCTGTCAGAGAAGGTCCTAGGGGGCACAAATGAGATGCTGTGGGTCCCAGATCATGAGCTGTCACTGCATAACAATCAGGATCAGTGCACACTCAAGAACAACCCACTTACCTTCAAAACAGCTCCTACAGCACTCCAAACAGCCCTCAAGCACTCTCCAGGCTCCCTAGATTTAGACTTGAGGTGCAATGGTCACTTACAACCCATAGCAACTTCACACCTGGTGCCCAAAACTCAGAATAAGCTCAAACAGCTCATTTTCACACCTAAATGGCCAGATCTTGATGATTTGTGTCATGTTCTTGAAGCAGATGGCAGCAAAGCAAACCTACTGGTGGGGGTTAGTAGTGGTTTAGTTGAGAGAGGTGGTGCAGGTGAAATAAGAGGTGTGGAAGGTGCAGCACTGACTCTGGTGCAGCACAGCATCAGGAAATTAACACTTTACTATTTTTGACCTTTTTGTGACTTTTTTTGACTTTTTTGTGACTATTGTGACTATTTGTGACTTTTTGGGAAGGAACCTACTATCTGTACTTTTTTTTTGACCATATACAGCATTTTGAAGAATGAAAAGAGAACAGAATCTATTGAGACAACTAAGTGATGATATATCTAAGCCAAGAAGACTAGAAAATGTCTGAAAATTCAGAGATATTGAGCCATTGGTGTGATGCACACTGTCTGAGAGAAAAATCACAATATCTCTTTGGAACCTCCATCAATTTGAATGTATGTGGTATCTACTGAAAGCTATGAATTAGGTGGTTTGACAAGACCAAAATCAGCAAGAAAAGTGCAGCCATGCCTGCAGGACATGGGTAATGATAGTAGATTCCTTCCCAAAAAGTCACTTTAGTCACAAAAAGTCAAAAATAGTAAAGTGTTATTCTCCTGATGAGGTGCAGCTGGTTGCCCAGTCCTGTCACACAACTGTGACACTGTCACAACTCACCACAATGTGTCAACACATCTTGACCACTGTAAACCCCTTGACAAAACAAGCCACATGTCATATGACAGGGCTGTGCACAGTATTCACATGAAGAACTGCACCATGCACAGGCCATGTCAACCATGCACACATCAGCTGATCACCATAGACAAAATTCAAGTTCCTGCTCATCCAAATGCTTCACCTGCTGTCCAATACAATGCTGACTGCATTTCTACACCTATGCTACCACAGTACAGGTCCTCAGAGGTATGCAGTTGATGTCCAAGTGTCTAGCCACATTTTTTCTTTCCTACTCATCTTGTTGAGGGGGCATGTTGTTGCACAGTATGCCATCCAGTCTACACCAAGTTGATTGGGTAATATGTTAAGTACTTAGTTTATACTTTGTCTTACCTTACACCTAAGACTTTGTCATTTCAAGTCTGAGTTCTGTGTCTAGGCTAACTTGAGTGGCCTTCTGCTCTCACCCTACCCACAAAAGCCAGAGACTTGAAAAGTTTTCATGCTGCAATTTAGACCTCCCTGTCCTGGTTCCTGAACAACCCATTTTTGGGTACCTCCCAGAGTGTAGGCAGCAATGCAAGGGCTGAGTGGTTGCAATTGACCCTATGACCATCATGTGAAGTTGGAAGTAAAGGCATGTACCTTTCTGCTCTCACATGCACAAAGCTCTGCCTAAAGACTGTTACCAGATATCTATCCAACAATCTTCCCTTATTTCAACCACATTGGACCATTGGAAACCTACTTGGCTGCTGTTTATAATGTCCACCAGAGACTGCAGCACTTGCCCCTTAAACATGCCCCTCAAGCTCAAGGGTCATCTCCTTCATTGGAACAGTCACCATCATTCTCATGTAAGCATACACTTACTACTGATGCACCACTCATGCTCACAAGTCACTCATGCTAACACATCATGGTATCACATCCCCTATTGCATCCCCATCTGGGCATGCAGATCCCCCCTGTGTTGTGCTGTTTGTACACCCTGGGGTATATATACTGGTGCTGCCTGCATGTACAGGTCATATCTCTCTTTTCTCTCTTTTTCTCTCTCTCTCTCTGCAATTGCTCTGTATCAGCATATATGCTAGGTTGTCTAATCCACACACCTGTCCACATTCTGTTGTGGTTGTGATCATTGAGTGTGCTCACCCCTCTGTGGTGAGTTCCACTTTTTTTGAACATGCCATAGTGCATGTCGATGCCTGGTAAAGGTGTCAAGCTGCTGCCTCATCATGTCCTGTCTGTCCTGGTGCCCTTGACTACCCGTAGTCGAGTGAATAACCCTCTGCCCATGACACCATTGTCATCAGTCATCTCTGCTGTCTTCATCTTTGTCTCCACTGTCTCTGCCACCTACTGCTCAGTCACCAATGCCACTGCCTGTGGCTCTGCCCAGTGCCACTCTGTCTTCACCTGTCTCCCCTCCATGTGCTCCCCAGCCTGCATCTTCTCTGCAGACTCAGCTGATATCCCCCACCTCCTCAGATAGCTCTTCATCATCAGACAGCTCTGCTGTAGTCTTCCCTACCATTATGATGTCTTTGGTGCAACCTCAGGCAGCACAGTGTGAAAACACCAATGCTGGTAAAACCCCTCCCTTCTTGACAGCAGGTGATATTACTCCAGAAGGGTTGTGGAGCTGGGAGCTGGGGTGTGAAAATTATTTTCAACTAAAGAGCATAGCAGAGGATGCCCAGGTTACTAAGGTCATCAGTCATCTTCTAGACCCCCATGTCCAGGACTGGATTAGTAACAACAGTAGTTGCCTGACTGATCTCTCCTTTACAGAGTTTATGGAGGAGGTCCATACATATTGGCTTCCTAGCAACTGGGCAGAAGCCATCCAGCAGAAAATGTTGTCATCAATGCAGGGTAGCAAGGCCTTCCATTTGTGGGCCATCAAGGTGGAAAGCTTGAATGTACTACTGTGAGGAAGTGAGTTCCATCTTACTGAAGATCACCTCCATTTTCACTTGGAATCCCACATGCATCCAGACCTCACTGCAGAGTACCATTTGATGAGTACTCATCATGAGAAGCAGTTCCATGCCTGGCTTGATTTGGTCTGCCTCCTTAATGAGAAATGTGTCCATGATGCAGCAAAACTTGATGCAGCCCTTCACAAGAAGCCTTTCCAGCCTAGTCATGTAGCCAATGCTACTACATTGAACTCAAAGGCATCTGATGGCCATGCACACACCTGACCTCCTGCTCTCACTGTTGAGGAGTGCCAACTTCTCCAAGACAATTTGGGTTGTTTCAAGTGTCATCGCCTCTTCCAGAATCATACCATGCATAACTGCCCAAATGATTTCCCAGATGCAAAGAATTACAAAGCCTTGACTGCTGCTGACATTGAAGCTGCTCGTAAGAAATGTGCCAAGCCTGTCAATGTGGTTGTCAAAGACAAGCTGGCCTCAAAGCACTCATGTATCACTGAGGAAGAAGATATGGATGCCATTGCAGTTGTGATGCCTTCTGCTGTCCTTGGGGATGGGACAGACTCAGGTGAAGAGTACATTGCCCCTGTTTCTGTTCCCCATCTTCAATGGTCTTGTCTTATTGAGGGACCCAACTTAACCTTCCCCCTCCCTGTAAAAGTGCTTATTGACAGTGGCTCTCATTTAGTTCTGATTGATGAGACCCTTGTCATGAAGCTGGGTCTTTGATGCTGCCAGTTGCATAAGTCACTTGATGTCTCAGTCATGCTTTCATCAGGTGACCAAGAGGTTATGTTGTTAGAAAGTTATATTGTCTTGTCTTGCCTTTCCTCTGATATGCACTTTTGTTCACACTCCATTCATGCCATTATCACACAGGGCCTATGTACTCCACTTCTGTTAGGACTCCCATTCCTTTCTCATAATCAGCTCATTGTTGATCACGCCCTCCAAACGTGTGTTAGTAAAGATAGTGGTTATGACTTAATGAATCCTCTGGCTCCTGTTAGTTCCCCATCTCAGCCAATAACTCCTTCTGTTCAGACTGTAAAGAAACTTAAAAGGGTGGTTCTTATGGAACTACAGGATGTTCTACCAACATATCAGGAGATTGCAGAGGCAGCATCCACTCCGGTTTCAGGGGTGGATATTATTGGTGTGGTACAACACCACATTGAGGTCCTTGCAGCCATTGAAGAGTTGTCAAGGCATGATGCACTCTTCAAGACAGAATTCACAGACCATTTTCCAGTTGACATCCCACCCACAGATGCACTTCCCAATGATGTCCTTTTCCATGTACAGCCCAAAGATGCCAATAAGGTCATTCAACTTTGGTCATATGACTGCCCTAAGAAATACCACAAGGTGTGGAAAATGTTGCTTCAACAACATCTCAATGCAGGACACCTGCACCCCTCCAACAGTACACACTATTCCCCCACATTCATCATTCCGAAGGCTGACCCTAATGCACTACCATGCTGGGTAAACCACTTCCACCAACTCAACTTAAACACAGTGCCTGATAATCATCCATTGCCTCGTATCAATGAGATCCTTCGTGACTGTGCTAAGGGCAAGTACTTTGCAAAGCTGGATATGACTAATGCATTTTTCCAGACCAAGGTCCATCCTGATGACATTAAGTGGTTGGTGGTACATACACTGTGGGGCTTGTATGAGTGGACAGTCATGCCCATGGGGGTAAGAAATGCTCCTGCGGTTCACCAGCATTGAATGTCTGCCACTCTTCAACATTTGATTGGTCAGATTTGCCACATCTATCTTGATGATATTATTATCTGGTCACAGACACTTGAAGAGCATGAATGCAATGTTCATGCAGTCCTTCAAGCCCTTCATGATGCTAAGTTGTTCTGCTCCCTTAAAAAGACTCAACTCTTCTGTACTGAAGTGCTCTTCCTTGGTCACTGCATCTCCACCCATGGGATTGAGCCTGACTCCTCCAAGATCACAAGGATTCTCAACTGGCCAGTCCCACACTTGGTCACGGACATGCATGCCTTCCTTGGCCTCGTTCACTATGTTGCTGATCACCTCCCCAATCTTGCAGACCACACACACATCTTGAATGCATTGATGACCAAAGCCACAGAGCTCAGGTTCCCTGCCTGGACAGAGGATCACCAGTGGGCCTTCCAGGCCATCAAGGATCTTGTGGTCAGCCTGCATTGCCCAACAACTATTGATCATGATAACCCAGGAGACAACCACATCTTCCTTACATGTGACACCTCTGACTTTTGCACTGGGGCCATTCTTTCCTGGGGGCCCACTTGGGAGACCACCTGACCAGTGGCCTTTGATTCCACTCCCCTTCATGGCACAGAAATTAATTATCCTGTGCATGAAAAGGAACTTCTTGCCATCATACATGCACTGAAGAAATGGTGGGTGGAGTTGCTTGGTGCCCCAGTGTTGGTATATACCAACCACCATACACTGCAGAGTTTTTCCATGCAATGTGACCTCTCCAGATGCCAAGCCTACTGGCAAGAGTACATGTCACAGTTTGACCTTACCATTCAGTATGTTCAGGGAGAGTGCAATGTTGGTGCTGATGCCCTGTCTTGCCACTCAGATGATGTGCCTCCTGTGGCTGCTGTGTTGACTGTTGAGGTCAACAAGTCACTCACTGTGGAGATCTTAAAGGGGTACACAGAGGACCCATTCTGCAGATGACTCTTCTCCTTGCTTGACTCACTCCCTGGCTTACAGGAATGTGATGGTCTGCTGTACCTTGCAGGCCATCTGGTGGTTCCTCATGTTCACTCACTTCACAAGCACTTCTTCCACCTTGCCCATGATGCCTTAGGTCACTTTGGCACTGACAAAACATATGCAGCACTTCACAACTCGTTCTACTGGCCCAATATGTGCTGTGACCTGGCATCTGCATATATTCCTTCCTGCACCCAGTGCATGCATAACAAGTCTCCGACTACAGCCCTGGCTGGCCCCCTACATCCCTTACCAGTCCCTGATGCTTGTGGGGACTCAGTGGCCATTGATTTTATTGGCCCCCTCCCAGAGAACCATGGGTTCAATATGATCATTACCATGACCAACCGCCTCAGTGCCAACATGCGTCTAGTCCCTTGTCATAGTTCTATTACTGCTTCAGAGTTTGCAGCACTCTTTTTTGATCATTGGTATTGTGAGAACAGCCTCCCCTTGGAGGTTGTATCAGATTGCAATAAGCTTTTTGTCTCTTGCTTTTGGAAGTCCCTTCACAAGTTGATGGGTGTTAAGCTCAAAATGTCCTCATCCTACCATCCTCAAACAGATGGAGCGAGCGAATGCACTAACAAGACAGTCAACCAGTGTATTCACTTCCATGTTGAGCACAATCAGAAAGGCTGGGTCAAGGCCCTGCCCCATGTACACTTCCACATTATGAACACTATTAATAACAGTACAGGTTTCTCACCCTTCCAGCTCCATCTTGGTCACTCTCCCCACCTCCTGCCCCCCATATCTACTCCAGATGTTTCAGATGGGGAGCATGCTGAGACTGAGCATACCAATGCAGCCACCTTCCTGATGCATCTGGAGATGGATGTTCTTGAGGCCTGTGACAACCTTCTTGCAGCCAAGGCTGCCCAGGCCCATGTGGCAAATCGTTGCCACATCTCTGACCCAAGATTTTCAGTCAGGGACAAGGTTTGGCTATCTACAAAACATCATCGTCATGAGTATATTACTAATGGTACAAATCATGTAGCAAAGTTTATGCTGCATTATGACGGCCCATACACTGTCTTGGCAGCTTCTCCTGAAACATCCTCCTACACCTTGGACATGCCCCATGCTGCCAATGCATGCACCATGTTTCATGCCAGTCAACTATGTGCCTTCATGCCCAACAACACAGCACTTTTCCCATCCCATGAGTTACCTTGCCTGGGCCCTGTTGTCACTGCAAACAGGCAGTTGGAGAATTTGATTGAGCGAATTTTGGATGAGAAGCAGTCTGGATGGATGAAGAAATACCTGGTGTGGTGGTTGGGGTATGGTCCAGAGGATGACAAGTGGCTGATGAAGAAAGACTTGGAGGATTGTGAAGCATTGGATGTTTGGGAAAGGGAACACCCACCTTGATAGGTTGGAGGTCGAAACAGAGGATGAGGAAAGAGCAGGAGAAAGTTGCGATGAAGGAGGCTAGGATGATGAAGCATGGTTACTCATGCAGCTCACACACTCACCCCCCCGTTGCTCCTTTTTTATGGGTTGGGAGGGTGTAAGCATATGCTTACTACTGACACACCACTCATGCTCACATGTTGCTCATGCTAACACATCATGGTATCATGTCTCCTATCATGTCCCCATCTGGGCATGCAGATCCCCCCTGTGTTGTGCTGTTTGTACACCCTGGGGTATATATACTGGTGCTGCCTGTGTGTATGGGTCATATCTCTCTTTTCTCTCTTTTTCTCTCTCTCTCTCTGCAATTGCTCTGTATCAGCATATATGCTAGGTTGTCTAATCCACATGCCTGTCCATGTTCTGTTGTGGTTGTGATTGTTGAGTGTGCTCACCCCTTTGTGGTGAGTTCCATCTCATGGCATACAGTATGACAACCACTCCAGAGTATCCCAAGCACCCAGAGCTTTATATGGACACACTCATCCTCCTAGTCAGCATTGTTTGTATAGTTCCTCTGCTACTCTTACCCTTTGATTAGGTGGAAAATTGTTTGTTCAAGGTTCCCAGGAAGCCACTGGAAGAGGAGTTAGTGATCTTCAGAGACATGTTTCGCATCCCACAACCCAAAAATGAGATGATAGAGGGCCAGGATGACACAAGACTGGTGGTCTTACATGGCATCTCCAAGGATGAATTTGAATGCCTGTTGAAAGCTCTATTATGCAGGTAAGATAGTCCTGTATCTGATTTTCAAAGTGTGGCATGTTGACTATGAATTATCCACACCAGACAGCGTGGGCAAAATAAGAGCCTAGTACTTCACTTTACCAGCCAATGGATATCTGTCCTCAAGTTATCCACGATGTGGGAATGTACAAGCCTCCGTGCGGCAGCCATATCTTGGTTGGATAGTAACAGTGCGACTCTTGGCCATGTCGAGAAGGCTGCGCTCGCCATGCAATATGACATCAAGGCTGGCTACTTCCTTCTCTTCTCGCACTGGCCCAAAGACACAATCCAATTAGTGTAGAGGAAGGTAGGCATCTGGGTATTGAAACGGCACTGAAGTTGGCATCGGTGCGGGAGGGGCTTCGGCTGGAGAGACTGTATGCACTTCAACCATTTCGACCGTACAACGGCGGCGGGGAGGGTTCTAAACTTGTTGTCAGTGACAGGGACCCCACAGCTACACGACTGGACTTCACACCCATGATACAGAAGGTTTTCGAACTATAAGTGTAGGACTTCAGTACATATGTCATATAATAGATTTGAATGATAAACAAGGTGATTATGGGTCATCTGTGAGAGCCTCGTTCCAGTGGTAGGTATTCCCTAACCATGCGAGCAAGTACGGACTGTATGACAAAATCGAAATGCTATTTGTTTGTTTCGTTTTATGCTCGAAGATCGTGTAAGGCACAATACACGGAATTGTAATTGTTTCAGAGGGGCCACTTGTACAGAGAGTAGGTGGTTCATGCACGACAACTATGACAAAATTTGAGCACTTGGGCACTCCCTACCTAGGACACAACTACCATGAAAGGAACCGTACAACCCGTATCCTGCTCCTGCCCCTGGTATCTAAGGAAATAGATCTGATACACTCTCGAAGGTGACACTCTCGGGAACCTTTTCGAAAATACCGTGCTATAAGCACAAAAATCAAAACATTCCGTAAATAGCGCACGAAAGAAGACAGTGATACGCACATTGCGGTTAGCCTTGCGTTTGGACTGTTTCCCCCACTTATCCTTACAGTATTGTTCAAACTCGTTGAGGGGTGCAATGGTCGGCTTCCAAGAAGTTCCAAATGCTTGCTTGAGCGTATCGAGGGTGAGCATGTATTGCGGCCTCGTAAGCGTTGTGGGGGCATAAAGGATGCTCTCGTGGAACACCATGCCTGGCTTGATCGCACCACCTTGCAAGCGTGTCTGAGGTTGAATGAATCGCTTCAAGTCGCCAACCAACTCCACATATCCATTGCCAGGTTGCGCTGCTCCCCACGGATCGGGCTGAGGCTGCGCAATCTTCTCAATAAACGAAGTATCAATGTTGATGAAGGACTTGATCTCTCCCTAGTTACGAGCCGTCCTATGTGAGGTGACTCCACAAAATCCTGGAGAATCATACGCACCACCATCCAGAACAATGCCAAGTCAGAGAGGTCGTGCTTCTCATAACCTCCACCAACATCACAATGGGAACCGGGAAACCACACCTGCAGGACCCCCCGTATGTCAGATATTCGAAAGGAAGGAACATTGACAAAAGCTGACGTCCCTGCTTGATGACTTGGTTGTCGCGCCAGCCGCCCTTCGGCATCTCCCAAAGGGTGGGCGAGAAACGGTCTCGATTTTCCTGCAGAGACAGCGCATGCAGTGCAATATCGATGCTGGCAGGAAGACTGGGATCTGTTATGCCGAGTGTATCCTTGATGGGAGTAAGGGGAAATTTATAGACAGCATCAACGGTGTCCCATACGCCCACGCATCTTCGAGGAAGCGAAATTGTATCAGCAACAACAGAGAGCAAGGTCTATGGTTGATTGAATAAAATTAATTACTCACTTGATCCTGGTCTGACGCGTGCCGGATGGAATCGTCGGGTGTCGGCCTTTGGCGAGAGCAGACCAGATCTTAAAGAAGTCTCCGAGCTGCTCTCTCTCCAAGAGCCCAATACGGTCCTTTCACAAATGAATTTGAGTAAAGCAATCAGAAGATCTACTAAAGCTACTAACAATTAAACCAGATAGCTTTCGAGCTGTGTAGGCACCCCTAGTCAGGTTTGTTAATCGTCAGCAGCGGTAACAACGAAAATGACTTGCCTGGAAAATCTAGATGGCAAGGACTTGTCAGTAGTTACAAGGGACCATTTGGATCATAGCCCACCCGAAGATACATATCTCATCCCCCACTTCAAAATTCTGGGCGATGAATGCATATGCATCTCGAATCTTGCTTGCTGAAATATCATGAATATCCATTTACGCAGGTAGACACCTAACAAACTGACCCACTGCCGTGCCATAAGCCTCTGGAAAGGGGAATGGCCGCATCAGCAACTGAGACGTTCGAATCGACGGGAACAGTCACTCAACGAAGAAGCGGAGCTGCGCCCGCGAAGTTACCATTAAAATCGGATTCAGAGCCGACCCCGCTCAAGTAAAGGACTATTTGACGCTTCGGCTTATCACCACTGGTTTTTTATGTATAGCTAGTTGAAATGGGATCTCATCTCTGAAGCAGCGACATACGCAGAGGTCTGTAGGATGGCTCGCGCTAACGTGGGCATGAGCATTCGAATAAGCCGAGTTTCTCTGATTGTCAGAGGTGACTTACAAAGGCGCAGAACGTTGGTAGCAAACTGGCGTGGTGCATGTACTGGTGCGACAAAACGAACGTCAGACCTGCTGCGTCAAGACCAGGGAAACACAGCACACCTTCAGTACCTGTGAGAGTTCCGTCTGCGCCGGTACCGTCGCAGAAAACAAGCAGCATCTTGGGACTGGGAGGAGACATAATGACTGATGCGCGTAAGGTGAAGGACTCGGAGGACCTGGGGGATTAGGTGTTGTCCTAGGGTAGTATTTATGCATTCCGAAGTTGGTCAGGTTTCCCTTGGATTGGCAGATAGGCAGGAGATCGGTCTGACATGTAACCCCTGGTGGCGAGCTAGATTCTGAGAGAAATCTTTGAACGAAGGCCGCGGAAGTTATTGTTGCTCCGAGCGAGGAACGAAAGGTGACTTGGACAACATTCTACCTGTCAAAGGTTCTGAGAGAAAGCTTGAACGGAAGCCGCGGAAGGTTTTTTCGCTCCGAGCGAGGAACGACAGGTGGATTGGAAGTCCCCCCCACTTGTCACTGTGACATTGCCGCCGGCATTTGTTTTGGTCAATACATGTATGTTCCTGTGGCTGTGTTGGATCGCAGAAGTCTCTTGTTTTCTTCGACCCGATAATAGAACTTCGCAATCAACGAAATATTCAGGTCCTCCGTCCTTGATGCTGTTACTGAGGGCGTGAGTCCACCGTTGGTGTTCTCCCTCCAGGGCCTTCGCCAGGCGTCCCTCCAATGGCTTCTCCACTCCACGGTATGCCTGGATTCCCTCCCGGGTATGTCTTGCCGTGTGGCTTTTATCGTTGTGCATAGCTAATTCTATTTTCCAGTCCCCCACCCCCTAGCTTCCTTATGCCACCTCCTGGTCTGCTGCTGCCACATGGAATGTTTCCCTCAGGTGCACCACCATTCCTTCCCGTCCGCCTCTTCCACGCCCACCAGGGTTCGTCCTTCCCGCCGCCACAGCACCACAACCACCGACGGTGTCTCTTCCACCACCACTTGTACTTTCCAATCCTGCTTTCGAGCAGACGCATGGTCCTTTCAAGAAGACCGACCTGAAATATCCGGATCCCAGCTTCTCAGTATGTACTGCGTTTTTCACTCTAATTTCGTCTGTTTTGGCCATGGCTTGCTCACCGCTCCACTCTTTCCCCCCTTGTCCTTATGCATATAGGAAGAGAGGTGTGTACGCATCGCGAAGCACTGCTTTGCCAGCGATGCAACGAATAGGACACCATCACAAGATCAAATGCCCAGTGGCACGGAAGAGTTTCGCAGGAAGAAACGTGCTCGCGCAGAGGATTTCCTCTACCTATATATGTACGTGCATACACACTCTTGCAAGCGGAGTGGGGGATATGGTGTTTGGTCAATCTTGTTTGGTCGTGTTGGGTCATTTCGTGCAAGTCTCCTTGTTCTCTTTCGTTTTATCTTTCCAGCTAGGCTTGATCTGCTGCAACGGGTGGTGATCATAAGTGTTGGGAATGGTAACGGTATGGAAAAAAAGAGTCGGTTGGTGGAAAGAAACTTACCGGTCCGTCCCATCCAGCCACCTCACGCGAGTGTCCACACTCATGACTTCCTTTTTCCCTATCACATATTCCACCCATCACCATCGCCCTTGTGTGCGACGAACCCAACGTCCTATGCGCTGGAAATTGCTACAGTGGGGGTTGCGGTTCTCGGTGCGGCGCCTGTCCTCGTACTGTTCTCTTGACCATGCTTCCCTCTCCCTTCCCTTTCGTCTCACACACCAACTCTCCCAAGCTCCTCTGTCATTCTGCATTATCCTGCGGCGGTATCAGAACACTTATACAAACGGACCAGAAAAGGTTTGTCTACACATGCGGTCGATCATCTTTTTCTCGTTCCATCTCGCTTTTTATTTCATCTATACGTTTTTCTTTACCTGCCCACTTTGAAGATCGCAAGTTACAGCAAACAGATGCCAACGGGGATCAAGGTTGATGTGAAGATATGTTTTGTTGTTGCATGAGTGTGCGTTTGGGTGAGGAGTCTGGTCGAAAAACAGGTGGGAGCCAAGTCAAGCAGCTATCACCATGTGTCGCACTACCAATGCAAGTATCCTACAGTATATTGGAGTCTTTGTCACACATTTGCCAACAATACATGTGTCGTTATGCAGCTACATGAGGTACGAAGGTCCGAGTTTGCAGAGTAGAGATCGTGCTGTGGGACTCTCGGTGATTAGGAAACTCCCCACTTCGGATGAAGATATACTTTTCCTGGGCGACGACGTCACCGACAAATGTCGTACCGCTGGTCGTAAACCCACAACGCCTACTTGTAGATTCGACGAAGGTCTGGAACTGCTTGGAATTGCGACTGTGGTTAGAGGTGCTGGAATGGAATGGATCAAGGTTCGTCGTGGGGTGGGCCCCCTGTAAGGTGATGGGTTGTTGGTAGGGGTAACTGACTGGCTTTGCACTGGGAGCGTCAGCTGGCGTTGAGCAAGTATAAGCGGCAGCAGTGGCGGTCGAGCGTGTGATGAACGATTTGATGTATTAGGCCCAAAATCCGACGACCCACGTGAAATCGAAAACCGCCCCTCCCTCATTTCCGGGTCCATAAAGGGCAGTACTGATGGTTGTGCCGAAGAGGGAACAACTTTACGTGAGTCCACGTTGTCAGGTATCCTAGACTGCATATACGCCACGATGGCAAAGTAGACGCTATAGAAATGTGCTGTTTCCACGAAAATCGGATACGCAACAATTTGCAGGTAGACACCGCTTATAGATGGCTGGAGTGATCCAGCATGCCACGGCAGTGTATGCATTCAGGAGCTTGCATACGCCCATGTCGTCAGCAGCTGGCCGGGGGAACTGGGTAAGGTACGATTATCGTGGGCACGGCAACGCTGTGGAGTTTGATCCGGGCGTTGAATCTGGGGACTCCAGCATCTGAATGCAACAGTAGCGCCTGGTGATGATCTCAGGATACACTCTGCACTGCGCTGATGCCACACACCTGTCTGCAGAACAACTACCAACAAGAGACGCGTGGCATCTAGCCATATTCAAAAACTCATGTATCAATCTACGAAACATCAGTCAGCACAACCACATGGAAAACAGGCCTGCTTACGACTCACAAGACAGGTAGGATGAAGATGGTCACTGTGTTCGTGAGCATGAGCAGGAACGTCAATGATTCTAATACGGCAATTCAGCCGTTTCAAGTGCGGACGATTTTGTTAGGGAACATACGGGAAGTGGTGTCTCAGATGGTCCAGCGAGTGAATATCTGGACGGATACAAGCATTAGCTAGACCAGGACCAGAAAGACGATGCAGGCTGAAACAAATGGATGAACGTACGACGGGTTGGATATCACCAGACTACGCACCGAATGCGATGGAGCGAACGGTGAAGAACATAGGAAAAGAATCCAAGGCCATTGCGGGGTCATCAAATGTGTGATATTCCAGCAATCAGCGTGGAGGAGAGGACGCCTGGACGGGCAGTGGTGACGAGGAGAGGGAAAGCCGTGCGTCCTCGTCTTATGCCTTTGTTCGCTCTCTACTCTAACCATTACAGCAGTTTGCAGTACCGAGGGTACCAGCCAAACACAACAAAACTCATAGGTATCCTAGATAAAATATATATCTCAAATATTTCACTCAATTCTTGATGGATCTGAAAGAAATTTTGATATTCTGAATCAGCATTATCAGCTCTAGGGGATGATGTAGAAATCATGATGAAATAACTGCTATTTTGGACAGGAAAAAATACTTGGTCATTCTGAGCATATAACAACAATTGTGAGTGATTTACACATTTCTATGGCTGGAAATGCCTCTAGCCATGATCTATACACTGGTGGATGAGTGAACCATGGTGAAAATCCAGTGGTTCTTCCATTGTTTTGTACCAACAGAGAGCAATCTGCACTCCAAATGGTGCCAATCATGTAACAAAAATTGCTCACTCCACATTGCATATTTTTTTTACAAAAGTTTCAGATCCATAAAGCCCTTCAAAATACCTAGGGAACAGTATCATACTAGAAATGCACTTTGTTTTGCACTTGTTGAGGTAGTTGTCCATGCCTGTCTTTGTGTGTGAGTTATGTGTGCTGACTAATCAAGTCAGCCACCTTGACACACAAGCATGTTTTACTGTGGTACTGGCCTGTGAGCATGTGTGAGTGATTTCCATATGGCATGCAGAAGGCACTTTTCTAGTTGTACCCACAGGCAATACTCTCGAGATCTCAAGCAGCAAATTGTCTATCAAGCTCATGTACTTGGTCAGACCACAACTTCTATTGCCATTTCACTTGACATGTCACTTTGAGTCATTCAATGTGTTCTCAAGATATACCATGAAACTGGTGAAGTTGTCAATGAACAACAAATGGATGGGTGCATACCTTTGATGTCTGAAACAGCAGTAGAGGTATGTCTAAATTGTTCTAACATTGGAAATAGCATTGAGAGCTGATCATATCCATATCTTAGTTCATGCTGGTGCTTCTTGAACATTCCCCCAACCTCTATCTTGAAGAAATTCAGCAATAATTACTCTTGCTTCACAACATCAAAGTCTCTATTGCAACAATATGGCATACACTCAAGCATTTGGGTCTGTCTTCAAAAAAGGTATGACACATACATATGCTTTGATCTCAATTTTCAGACACTGATGTCATCATATTTTAGCTGTCTTGAATTGCCAGTGAGCACAGTGAGGAAGCATGTTGCAAGTTCACCATGGCAATTGGTGAAGACTCTCCTGACCACATTGCCTGTATTGATGAAAACACTGTGAATGTACTTATGATGTTTTGTCTGAATGGATGGAGCCATTTGTCATATCCATGACTCTCAGACTCAATCCTGGTCCAGTCCAGACCCCTAGCCCCTATCTCTGGTCAAGCCTGGTCCTAGTCCAGCCTAGAAAACCCAACTCTGGCCCTAGATAACCCAATTCCAGCCTGAATAACTCAAGTCCAGTCTTTTACCCCTATCTCTGGTCCATTCTGGCCTCCCAGCCTTGCACTGCTCCACCCTGGTCCTCCCAGGTCCATGTCTGGGTCACCTGGACATAACTCCAGTCTGTTTCCCATTGTTTGTACTAGATTTAGTCTAGTCCCCTTTGCTGATCTTTGCTTACTGTACAAACTTGTGTTTGACTCTGGTTATGCCTAGTCACCCTAGACTTTAACTATTAGTCTTGGCACAGCCTCCATGGCTTTCCACACCTTGCTAATCATCTCACTAATAGCTTATTAACAAGTGTGGCTCTATGTTTGTTACCCCAGACTGGCCTTGTGTATTTAACCCATGTACATACTTTGTGGTACTCCAGTCAGAATATCAATTTAGTATTACCCTCAACTCTGTACTACACCCTGAGTCTACTCTATAGCTAAGGCCAAGCCTTAAGCTATCCCTGGCCCCTGTCCTGGACCTCTCCCCAGCTTGCATAAGGGTACAGCACATAAGCTGAGACCAAGGGAGGTAGATCCAACCCCAGACCAGCTTCCCCCTGCATGCACTCCAAGACTGGTCAGTTTCCCACACTACCAGTCTTGTTCCTGCACTCCTGGTCTTAAGTCCTGTCCTCTGGACTTAGCCCCTGACCTCTGGCCTCAACTCCAGTCCAACTGGACTTGGCCCCTGTCTCCCAGCCTTGACTTTGGTCACCCAGACTTAGCCCCTGTCACCTGGTCTTGAAGCCTGGTCACCCAAGGATACACCTATACTTAACAGTATATTCTGACTCACACTTGTGCAAGCCATTGCATCATGTCTAGGTCCTGCTCTAGAGCCCCTACCCATGACCTTGCCCATTGGGACCCATTGGGCTACCTCTCATCTGACTCCAGAGCCCAACCCAGAGACCCCTGCTAAAGCAGAGAGGTAACTGGTGCCCCTCAGCACTCTGCACACCCCTGGCACTATGTTCCTAGTGGTCAAAACTTAATGCATCCACTCCCTCACTCCTGCCCTGCCTGCCACTCATTTCTTCCTGACTCCAGACTGGCCATGTCAGCCCCTGAGCTGGACTTACCATCTGGACTCACCACCAACCTGGACTCATGCTTGAGCCCACTTCCAAGTCAGAGTTAGCCTCTGGACTTGCCCCTGAGCTGGCCTCAACAACCAGACTCACTTCTGTTAGCTCCCCCAAGCTACCCCTGACCCCTGGCTGGTCACCTCAGTCTTCATCTTGGTCCTTATCTCAGTCATCCCAGCACTTTATCCCAGCAGTCTAGGTCCAGTTCCACTGTAGCTGGATACTGTGATCATATCACTCATTTGACCTCCTGACCCCCTGTGATATTGTTCTCTGGACCTCTGTGCACCTTTGGTGCAGCCCCCAGGACCAGACTTGGCCAGTCCTGGTCCTCAACACCTTCCCTGTTCCCCATTGGCACTTGGCCTTCAGTGGTTTTTGGGTCTGGTCTCCACCCTTGGCCTTTGCTAAACTAGCCTTGGAGCCCTGGACCCCCTTTCCAGTCTCCAGATGGTCTGTTACTGGCCTTCCCAGCCTTGGGTTGGCTTGTCCCCAGAACTGAAGTAAGACAGGGTACAAGTAAAGGAAAGCCACATGACAGTGCATACACAAGAGACAGGCCAGAACAGGGGCTGAGGGTATACCACTAATGTAAAGGGAACAGAGACTGTGGTAAAAGGAAAGAGTCCTAAAAGAAAGGAAGTGACCAGAGCACAGCAGCCATGGGTATAGCATCATGTGAGAGGGAGTGAGGGCATGGGAAGGTAGCATGTGAACAGTGGCATGTTTGAGAGGCCTGGGAACATAACAACAGTTGTGGAATGGTTGATGATAGTGGTTTACACATCTAAGGAATGTAGATTCCTCACACCTGTGGGGGACTTAGATGCTGACTGTCCCTGGTCAGCCACATGGCATGGAGGATGTAAATAACTCAGCCACTTGGTGATGGCAAAGGTGTAGTGCCAAGGATTCAAGAACACTGGTGGATTCTGCATAGAAGTGAAGGAAGTGTGGTGCCAAGGAACACAAGAAGACTGTTGAATGCCACATATAGGCATCTGGACTGATGACATAAGGCACCTCATGGCTGCTAAGTGTATATTTGTTAGTGCATGGCTCAAACCTTTGCATCATTCTGATTCTTTCCCCCTCATCAATCATCTCTCTTACTTGTACCATGTCTGCCAACCATGCCCCTCATCTCTCGCAACTTGTACATGCTCCAACCCCAGATCCTGTGGAAGCTGAAAGGGCTTCATTAAGAGAGCAGCTTGTGGCTGCATCAGCAGGGCTCATGGCAGAGGCAAAATGTGCACCTGATGACTGGGAGGACATGCAGGAGGAGAAGGCAACATGGCTGAGTCACTGGGAGGAGAAGACAGTAAGTGGTTTGTTTGGTGACTTGGCTGTGCAACATTGATGAGCCAGCCACAGGTGGTATTGATGCCCCTGGTTAAGTGAGGGAAGGTGCTCAGGGTTTCCATATGGGTCAGTGCAGAAGATGCTCCCATGCTTGCAGAGGCCAATGATCTTTATGAATGGTGGGCCACAGAAGAAGCCAAAGCACATGTGAAGGCAGAGCAGGACATTCAGATGGGGGAAGAGACTGTGGTGGAGCTTGGTGAGGATGGTGCAGTGAAGATGTCACATGTGGAAGTTCTGCAGCCAGCTCACAAGGTAAGTCGCTGTGGGCACATTGTTCAGTCTCATTGACACTGCAACCACACAGTGGTCTTGGCAGACCATTGCTGAAAGTGATGAAGAGCCTACCTGGCCAAAGATCTGTATCCCAGCCACAGGTACAATCACCCACAAGGAGCCATGCATGCAGTGTGCCCTGAAGAGGATCTCTTGTACCAGAACATTGGGCAAGACCTGTGATGCATGTGTGAAGATCAAGCAGGGCTGTGAAAAGTCAAGCAAAGTGGCAGGCAAGAAGGCACAGGTGGGCACATCAGTTGGTAAGTAGTGGTTGTGTCTTGATGCATCTGAGGCTATCCCACTACAGTGCAATCCATGAAGGCCCCTAAGGCCAGTCCATTGAAGTGGGGTCATGACAATGATGATGATGACATTGTGGAGGTGGTCCAGAGCAGGGCCCATGGAAAGGGCAAGGCACCAGTGCATGGTGGATTGGGTGACAAGACTGCCATGGCCTTGTCTCGAGCACTGACAACAGGGAGGGCTGAGGCTGTGGCTTTGCACACAGCCACCATGTGTCTGCAGGTCTGCCTCAACCAGCTCATGGAGACCATGTAGTTTGTAGACTTGTTCTTGCATCCTGTCCCATTTTTGCTGCAGCCTGCACCTTACATGCAGAAAAACATATCATGCTGGCCTGTTCTGTGTGGTTGTGAAGCAAGGTACCACAAGAGACTTCTGTCTGCTCAGCAGGGAACTGGCCCTGAACTGGTTGCAGTATTGTAGAGTGCATGGGGTACCACCTGACTTGTCTGCTTCATGCAGCTTTCAACTGCTCTCAGCAGTAAGTCCTTGTGGAATGGTCTTGATGGTAGGATGTGATGGATTCTTGAAGAGAGAACAAAGGGACTGTTTATTGGGTAACTGGGATGGTCTTTGGGTATCAATTGCAAGGAGACAGAAGAAGAACTGAAAGGAAAATAGATCAAGGCATACATGCTGACTGCACATTCAAAGAAGAAATGCATGGGGTAGTTGCAGGTATCTGTGGTATATAGTGGCCAAGGATGGCATCAGCAAGACTAGTAAGAGAGATAGGAGAAATGTTGTTTTAGCTATATACTTATTTTTGTTATGTTTCTGGATGGTTTTTGACTTTTTGTTAGCAGTTTTTATGTTTTTTGTGTGAGGACTAGCTATCAGTAGAATTACCAGACAAAACCCAGGGTAAAACAGATAAAAGGAAATGAACTATGTTTGGTATCAAGTGGTGTGCAGGTCACCCCTGTGGGGGACTTTGAATGCTGACTGTCCCCAGTCAGCATGGGGAAAGGAACAAGGGTAGCAGAAGAGGCCACAGAGGCAGGTGAAGCTGCAGAAGGAGGTAGGGGTATTGTCAGAGGAGAGGGTATGGAGGCAAGTAGGAAGGAAAGAAGGGGAGGGCATGATGGATGGGCTGTGGGTCCCAGAAAGGGCAGATAGTCAGCTGACTGAGGCAAAAGCCTCTACCTTGTCATCAGTGGGGTCATCCTCAGTCTCCTCAAGAAGGTGGTCTAGTTCTTCATCATATAACCCAGTAATATGAGTCATGGTCATGTGGGTTTGAGACCACAGGTGGTAGGGAAGTAGGCAGAATGCAGTGAAGTGGAGTCTCAAGATGGAGCCATCCAACTCAGCCAGCAGGTATGAGCCCCCAGTGGTCCAATGAAGGATGACCATGGGGCCAGTGTACTGTGGCTTCATCTTCCAGTTCAGTTCTTTCTCTACACAGGAGTTGCAAATGAGCATGAGGGTGCCAGGAGTGAAGTTATGGTCTTTAATGCGATGCTGAAAGGTGGCTTCGAACTGCTGGATAGACTGGAAGCATGCACAGAGGACATTATCATGGACCTGGTCTAGGTCATCCTGACACTTCTGTAACTGGCACATGTGCCAAGCAATCAGTTCTGTGGTAGTCAGTGGTGTCGCATCATTGTGGGATAGGGGCAAAAGGAAAGTAGCCTCAGCAAGGTTGAATGGGAACAGCAGTTCAACACCATGTACCATGAAATAGGGGGATAGACCCATGGACTTCAAGATGGTGACTTGCTCAGCCCAGAACACAGAGTGTGCAACAGTGTGCCAGCAGCGGTCATTGTTCTCACAGCTCTTCATGATAGCCTTGTGCACATCATGGTGGCAATGCTCCACAATGCCATTAGCCTGAGAGTTGTAAGGAGAGATACAGATGTGATGGATAAGATATTGCACAGCTAGGGCATCTAAGGCTTAAACAAATGCAGGACCATTGTCAGTGACAATCTTGGCAAGCAGACCCCAGTGGCATAGAATGTCCTCAAAGATGAAGGACATGAGTGTGGTACTATTTTCTGCACACAACATGTGCCACTTGGGATATGAGGTGAGCATGCATCGAGCCTGTACTATGTGGCAGTAGCCACCAGCTTTGGGCATTAGCATCATGTCAATGTGAGCTTTATGAAACAGGCCCCCAATCATGGGCACAGTGGGAGGGATATGAAGCTTCTGTGTTTGGTGGATCTGGCATTTGTGACAAGTGCAAACATACCACTTCATGTCCTTGACAAGCAGAGGCCACCAAAAGTGAAGGAGAAGGTGGGTGCAGACTGTGAAGACACCTTTGTGTCCAAGGTTGTCATGCACTTCTTTGATGAGACAATACTGCTTGGACCCATTGATGACTAGCTGGTGCCATCTGTGTGGTTCCCTATGCCATAAGTTACCATCTAGGAGGAAGAAGTGGCTGGCCAAATTAAAGAAAGATGAGTACTGCACATCAGTAAGGTCAGGAGGTCGCTCACAGGTTGCAAGGAATGTGCAGATCATTTCTATCTTTGCCTCACATGCCCAAGCTTTTGCAGACCATGGAATGGCAGGGTTATCAGGGGTATTGGAAGGGTTATCAGCATGAGCAGTCACAGAGAATGTGAGATAGAAGGATGCAGGTGGTGGGAGGCTTGCCTGATGGTAAGTGGGTGGCAGTAAGGAATGATGATCTTGATTGGAAAGGGATGTAGGAGGCAGGCAGTCATTGACAGCCTCTGTAGAGAAAGAGTAAAAACAGTCTAGCCAATCCTCATGGTCATCACCCTCAGGCAGGTTGAGTTCCAACTGTGGATGGCAGGACAAGCTGTCAGGGCTGGCATGCCTGTCTGTGGGAACATGCACAAGTTTGAACAAGAAGAGGAGGATGCCAGCAATCCACTGATTGATCGTTGTGTTAGGCTGCAGATCCAGGTTATTTATCATGCCCCTGATATACTTTGCATCTACCTCCACAGTGAAGTTAGTGAGACCAAAGATGTATACACACAATGTGCAGAAGGGGCTGTACAACTCAAGCTTAGCCTGGGAGTAATGGCTTTCCACTTCATTGAGGGTAATGGATCCAAAGCAACTAGGGTATCATTTTCCATCTTTGCCAAGCTGATAAAGGATGTAGCCAACTGTGATGACCAAAGTGTCAACTTCTAAAGTTACTTCACAACCACACTCATAGTCAATCCTTTGGAGTGCAGGGGACTTTATGATTTCATCCTTGAGCCATTGCATGGCAGCACATTGCAGCTTGTCCCATGTGAATGATACATCTTTCTGCATGAGTGCAACTAGCAGCTGCACAATCTTGGCAAAGTCTTTGATGAAGATGTGGAGGACACCACAAACACTAAGGAAACTGCAAACTTGTGTCAGGTTGTGGCACTCAGGCCAGTTGTGGATCTTTTGTACTTTGCCTTCCTCAGGGATGCAACCTTCAAAGGTGCACTTGTGGCCAATGATCACAGCAGACAGAGCAGCTAGCATGAACTTCTTTGCTGAGACAGTGGCTCCAACATTCTGCAAATGCTGAAGGATGCAGTTAATGACTATACAGTGATTCCAGATAAATTTCTGAATCCCAGGATTCTCTGGGATAGTCTCATAGGACCTGTCTGCATGCTGATAGCAGGTGGTCTCAGATTTTATGGGGACATCATCTATGAAAGGCAAGATATGATGCGGGATCTCATCTTGGAGGACAAACACAGTATCTCCCTTGTATACCTGGACCATGTTTACATGATCTTGCAGCAGAGTAGTAAGCCAATGCAGTCCAAGTGGGGTACTGAAGGTGGTGAGGTCACAGGAATCAATGTGAAGTGCATGCTGGTCATACCCAGAGTAGAGGTCCATCATCACATACACTGCATATCCAGCAAAGGATTCTGCAAGATATTCTACAAAGGGTGGGACAGATGCATCACAGATGGTTACTGCATTTAGGGGCTGCAAGTCATGCACAAGGCAAAGAGACCTTCCATCTTTCTTTACTATGCAGAACCAGTGGGAGTGGTAAGCCACTGTAGAAGGTTCATACATGCCGGACTTGATGTGATCTTTAATCATGTCTATGACTTGGGCATGTATCACACTTGGAATAGGGATATTGTGTTGGACCCAAGGTGTGTGCAGGATTGTGGGGATCTTTGCAGGTGGGAAATAGCATTCATCTAGGTGTCCATGCTCTGTGATGTCCCAAGCAAATGCAGGCTTGTGGACTGAGATGAGCCAAGTCATGAGTTTGAGTTCTTCTGGCCAAAGCCAATCTGCAGGATCAAGGTCAAGCTCCATGGCCTGTTCAGCAGTGAAGTGGATGCCTGGAGTAAAGTCTGGCAGATGTGTAGGAAGTGGTTGGAGACCAGCAAGTGGATCATCAGGCAGGCTGTGCACAATGCAGTATTCTTCCACCATTGGGGCAGGTACCATCCAAACTTTCTTGGCAACTGGCTTGTAAATGAGAGTGCAAACTGCAGGATCTAATTGGTAAACACTGCTGAAAGTGGCTATAGCAGAGGGGTTTAGTATGGTCTGAGTGGAGGAGAGGAAAGTGAAAGCAGGCAAGGGTATTCCTGTGGGTATGTTCTGTGGTATGAGTGCCACAGGTGAAGGGAAGTTCATTGAAGTGAAGGCTAGAGATGAGACTGCAGGACTGAGGAATGGATAACAGCAGCTAAACAGGAAACAGGATGTCTTAGTAGGCTCTCCCTGACTGTTTGGTGGATCATTGATACTCAAAAACCCCATTCAACAATACTCTGGTGACTATGGCAGTGCTTGCCACACTTACAGTGCAGACAGCCCTCACACCATGGGTGCATGGGCAGAGCATACTCATGGCCATTGTTCAGGTCACAGAGAGTGATCTGCTGCCTGCCATCAGGATAGTCATTTGTTACTGCACTCATAAGGCAGATGAATGGATGCCCAAGAAGCATGTTGAAGTTGGTGTGTTCAATTACCTGAACCTGGAGCATGACTGGTCCAGCTCCAAAGTCAAGTTTCAGGTTCTCTAGAACACCTACAGTAGTGTCTGTAGACATGTTAGCAGAGGTCATAGTCATGAGATGGTTGCTGCACAATGGCAGCCCAATCTTTTCCCAGATGTGCCTAGGCATAGCAATGATTTCTGAACTGGAATCTAGTATGCAGTTGATTGTGACATTGGTCCTGGGAACCTTGGCTTTGATGCAGCAGAGTGGCAGAGTGTGGTGAGCCATGATGGATCTGTCATTGCCATGGATGACATGGTCTCCATACTCATGTGTGGTTCATTGAGG